ATTAGCCATAGCAATTAGACAAGAGAAATAAAGCAATAAAGATAGGAAAGGAAGAAGTTAAACTGTCATTATTTGCTGACAATATGATACTCTACATTGAAGACCCAAAAAATTCCACCAAAAGACTTCTAGACTTAATTGACACTTTTAGCAGAGTAGCAGGTTACAAGGTCAACACTCAAAAATCAATAGCCTTCTTGCACACAAATAACAGACTCACTGAGAGAGAAATTAGGGAAACAATTCCTTTCACAATAGAATCCAAAAAATGAAGTAGGAATCAACCTAATGAAGGAAGCCAAAGACCTCTCTACTGAAAATTACAGCACTCTGAAAAAAGAGATCGAGGAGGATATAAGAATATGGAAAGATATCTCCACTCCACGTAGGAAGAATCAGCACAGTGAAAATGGCCATACTACTGCTATACAGATTCAATGCTATGCCAATTGAAATTACAACACTATATTTAATTCATTTGGAACCATAGGAGATCTAGAATAGCACAAGCCATCCTAGGCAACAGACACATGGCAGCAGGTATAACAATTCCCAATTTGAAACTAAACCACAAAGCCACTGTGATAAAAACAGCATGGTACTGGCAAAGAAGCAGACCTGAGGATCAGTGGAACAGACTGGAAGACAGAAAAACAACTCCAGATGTAGTCAGCTACCTCATCTTTGACAAAGGAGGTGACCATCTCCACTGGAGGAAAGAGAGCCTCTTTAATAAATGGTGTTGGAAAAACTGGATTTCAACCTGCCAAAGATAAAAACTAGACCCTTATCTCTCACCATGCACTAAAGTAAAATCCAAGTGGATTAAAGATCTAAGTATTAAAACAGAAACACTAAACTTGCTGGAAGATAAGTTAGGCAGAACTCTTGAAGATACTGACACAGGAAAAGACTTTATGAACAAATCCTCAGTAGCACAGGAAGTAGCATAAAGAATCAACAACTGGGATCTCATCTTATTAAAAAGCTTCTGCACTGCAAAGAAAGCAGCAACAGAACTAAGAGACAACCTACAATGTAGGAAAAAATTTTTACCAGCTTTTCATCAGACAAGGGACTATTATCTAGAATATATAAAGAACTCAAAACAATTAGTCCCCCCAAATATAAAGACCCAATTCAAAAATGGGCATCTGAAATGAACAGACATTTCTCAAAGAAGTAAAAGCAGCAAGTAAATATATGAAAAAATGTTCCACATCACTGGTCATTCGAGAGATGCAGATGAAAACAACACTGAGATTCTACCTCACCCCACAAAGAATGGCTACTATCAAGAAATCACATAATAACAAATGTTGGTGGGGTTGTGGGGAGAAAGGAACCCTTCTCCATTGTTGGTGGGAATGCAGACTGGTGCAACCACTATGGAAATCAATATGGAGATACCTCAAAGAGCTGGGACTAGAGGTTCCATTTGACACAGACATAGCTCTGCTGGGTATCTTTCCAAAAGAATTAAAAGAATCATATCACAGTGATATATGCACACCTATGTTTATAGCAGCACAGTTTGTAATAGCTAAAACATGGAAACAGCTCATTTGCCCATCAGTTGGAAACTGGATAAAGAAGATGTGGTTTTTCTATAAAATGGAATGCTGCTCAGCCATAAGGAATGAGAAGTTAGAGTCATTCATAGGAAAATGGATACATATTGAGGATATACTCCTAAGTGAAATAAATAAGTCACACATGTGTAAATGTCAAACAGTTTCTCTGGTGTGAAAAACTATAGTAGTACAGAAGATCCTAATGAGATAATTAACAATGTTAAATAGGAAGAAAAGGGCTAAAGGTGTAGGGAAAGTGGGAAGGCTAGGGGAAAGGGAATAAGGGAAAAGAAAAAAATATGAGAAAATGGAAACAAAATGTTCATAAATGGGGAGGGAGAAGGGGGTGAAGGGAGCGCAGGGACAAGGGGAAAAATGAGAACCAAGACCTGTCATGTGAAGGTACAGGATCCCAGTAATGAATGTAACTGTACTGTATACCTAGAATGTACCAGTAAACTCAATAAGAAGGAAAAAAAAATAGAGATCAAAGAGAGAGGTATTAGGAAGTTGCTGATTATTAAAATATCAGGAGTAAGAAAGTTTACCAGGCACTCTCTTAAATTTCTTTTGCTACATTAGTATATATGATCTTTTTTATTAAGGCATAAAATATTTAACCTGTTTCCGTTCAGGTTCTTATGTATATTGTACATAAAGTGAATTCTATGTATATATGTACTCACATATAAGATGAATAACATAAATCCCAGCACTCTGGGAAGCTGAGTCAGGAGGAACACAAGTCCTGGGCAACTTGGTGACTTAGCAAGAGACACTGTCTCAAAAATAAAAAAGAAGAAAGGACTAGGATATATCTTAGAGTGAAGGCACTGGATTCAATCCCTAATGCTGAAACAAAAGGTACAATAAATAGTGTATTATATGTGTAGTTACTGGATGTGGTACCATAAAGGAGAAAGTAAGATTTCTGTCTTGGAGACCTAAAGGTAACGTTCGCAAGCTGGAGCAAGTTGAGCCCATGGATTGTGAGATGCCCACTGTCAGTAGCTTACTGACTCTGAGGAAGAGGCTTCAAATATTTAGAAAAATTTTTCTCTGTAGGTTTGAGGATAAAATGAGAAATGGGTGCATGATTTCCTCCTAGGGCAATTACTGATATGTCCACTTAACTTTTCCCTTTGTGTTCTTAGAACAGGACTGTTATTTCTCCAGTGTCCTATCTGGTTATATACGTCTACAGGTGGCTTTACCGAGGCACTCCCTCTTCCTGCTGATAACTGCAGTGGGAGTGTTTAGTTGTTTTATCAGTGAGGTCCGCAGGTTATTAGTAGCTTTTATTCTAAGCCTTTTTGAAAATCTGGATTTGGGTTCTGGTTATAGAGTTCATTTCCATTTCAGTGCTTGTTGTATATTAAATTCTCTGTTTTTGGATCTGAGGCTGGTCACAAAAAAAGGAGAGAGCTGGAGGTCAATTCTGTCCCCAAAGAACTCATTCCGGAAGTCTCCAATGGACTCCTTCATTCTTCCCCTCTTTGGGGGCAGGACTAGAGTAAAGTCTATTCTACTTTCATAGTAGGAACTTGGGGCATAGCTTCTAATAGATTTTGCCCAACACTTACAGCTTTTCTAAATCCATTTCCTATGCAGTTGGAGATTTTCCTAAGCTATTTTCTCATTTTGTCTTTCTCATTCCTTTGTTTTCATCAGAGAATATGAGCCAATTGGTACAGACCTGGGAACAGGCAGTATTATTTTTTAAAGTTAGCTATCGTACTTAAAATATTTTCAAGTAATTATGAACTTTTGAAAAACAAGGAGAAAAAGTGTTCATGTTATACTATGTGCCTCAGTATGGAATAATAATTATATAGTCATAATAGTGTAAATACTGATTGTTGATTTCAGGCACAATTTTGATATAACTGCTAGAAGACTAGGAGGAGATTTAAAGTTATGGCTGTATAAGAAAACTAAACTTACAGCAGGAGGCCAATAGATAAACTTTTTAACTTCTCAGTTTAATTTACTGGTACATGTATGTAGTACATAGTGTTTACATTCCCTGGAGGAGGCTGGTGCATGTACATAACACATCCAGTTCCTTTTTTTCATCTCTTTTTCCTTCCCTCCCTCTCCTCCCCCATCTCTTGATTTCCTTCCCTACTAAGAACAATCTATCTCCTTACTTCCTATCATCTATCTTTTATTTTGCTGTTTATTTTTACTCTGGGTTTCTCATGTAAGAGAATCTGTGTGATATTTAAGTTGTGTGTCTGATTTACTTCATTTAACATCATGATGCATCTACTTTCCTACACCTAACTGAAGTTTATCCTTCGTTGTGGCAGAGTCGTGCTCCATGGTGTATAAATACCTTTTTAAAAAAATCCATTCATCTGTTGGTGGACATATGGACTGCTTAAGAGAATAACTTTTAAAAGTGCTAAATCAATGTATCATTTAGGAATCTTGAGGCAAATAACAAAAATTTGAAAGTGTATGGACATGATGGTACCCACTGTAATCTTGATCACTTGGGAGGTTGAAGCAGGAGGATCACAAGGTGAAGGCCAACCTGGCTGACTTAGTGAGACTCTGTCTCAAAATAAAAAGTAAGGGTTGGAGATGTAGCTCAATGGTACAATGCTTCTCTAGCACATAAATTGCCCTGGATTGAATCCCTAGTACTGCACTTGGAAGGAAAAAAATCAAAGTGGTTACCACTCTTAGACTTTTTTTCTAAGTGATGAAGATTATTAACTTTGATAAAGTAGGAGAAAAGTATAAAATCTTCTTGATCTAAAGGATAAAACATGCAACTTCCTCTGTAAAGGACTCTGCCATAAAGGATAAATGCAGTTTTTTTTAATGCCCCATGGTAGCTTTGATTTTGCCAAAGGAAATAATATTTCAAACTTAAAAGATGTATACATTGCCATGTGAATATTTGTGCATTGATAATACAAATGGTTTCTCTGAAAACACTAAGACTATAGTCAGGTTGTGCATTAAGATTTTTTTTCTGGTACCAGGGATTGATCTCAGGGCCTTGCATTTACAAGGCAGGGCGGCACCCCTGAGCTGAATCCCTGGCCCTAAGATTATTAATTTTAATGCTTTTAGTTAAAAGGTATTTTCCTGAAGAAAGCTTTAAAGGCTAAGAAAAAAATATTATGGTGCTGGAGATTGAACGCAGAACTTTAGCTGGGCTAATGCTGTACCAGCTCTAGATCAAAAGTTTAGACAGCAGTGTAATGTTTATCAGGAAGAAGAAACTGGACACAAAATGTTTATATGATGATTCTATGACAAAAAATTATAAAATTGTTTTTTAAAGTTGTATTTCAAGAGTATACAGTGCAAAAAGTGCCTTAACTTTTATTTCATTTGTGAACCCACCTAAGATTTAAAACTAATAATATTGTTAGAATTTATTTTAACTTCTCATAATTTTTAAAATAGGAAACTCTTCAGAATCAAAAGGAAGCATTAGTAAAGCAACACAAAGAAGCATCGGAAGTTTTTAAAAAGCAGGTAATTTCACAAACTATACAGTTTTAAGTGCTGTTTTCTTCCTCTCCCATGAATATTATGACAAGCTATTTTCCATACTCATGGAAGACATATGCAAAAGTAGGAAATGAACTGTTATTTTGAGTCATGACTGACAAGACCATAAAGGAAATTGGAAATTCTATTTTCTTTTTTTTCTTCCTTTTATTGAGTTTATTGGTACATTTAAGGTATACAGTACAATTACACTCATTATCGGGATCGTGTACCTTTACATGACAGGTCTTGTTTCTCATTTTTTTCCCCTTGTCTGTGCCCTCCCTTCATCCCCTCCTCCCCTCTCCATTTACAAACACTTTATTTCCATTTTTTCATTTTCTCATATTTTTTTCTTTTCCCTTATTACCTTTCCCCTACACTTCCCATTTTCCCTACACCTTTAGCACTTTTCTTCATATTTCACATGGTCCATTATATCATTAGAATCTTATGTACTATTATAGTTTTTCCCACCAGAGAATCTATTCGGTATTTACACATGTGTGACTTATTTATTTCACTTAGGAGTATATCCTCAATATGTATCTATTTTCCTATGAATGAATCTAATTTCTCATTCTTTATGGCTGAGTAGGGGAATACTATTTCCTTATTGAGGAGGAGATATGATCTTACTGATCCTAAATTAAGTGAGTAAAGTGCATGCTCCTTTACCACACTCAGAGTCGTAACAATGATGAAGGATTGAGATACATGTAGGCATATGTAAAGGCTGAGGAGAAGTGGCTACCACACACTGAATCCTCTGTAAATATCAACCACCAGATACTAAGAAAGACTATAGAAGATTAAAAAAAAGGTTTTGAAGAAATAACTAGCAACACTTCTAGTTAATTTGAGTTCTGTAGCTTTACTTGATTGCCTCAAATTTCTCTTCAGTCCTAGTTAGATAATATTAGTTTAAGAAAATGTGTTCATGTAAAATATCCTCTGGAAGTTTTTTCTTCCTTTCTTTTCCTCTTTTTTATCTTCATCTCCATACAAGTGTGTATTTGGAAGAAGAAATGCACTTAAGGAAATAACTCTATACAATTATATCAGTCCTGGGTTAAAGTTATTGATAATTTACATCTAAGTATGAATTTGCCTCAACAAATAACAGACTTTCTTCCTTTAATCTGAAGTAGGACTAACCAAAGTTATGAGAGTTTTAAAGAAAAGGTAAGAGACCAGAAGCCAAAAGTGTAGCATATTTGTCTAGGAAAAACTAGTCTATGCCTCAGCCATCATAAAAGGTTTTGGGCAATAATATGCAGATACTTGAAAGTGTGAGGAGAAATGCGCTTGTCTTTTTGTTTGTTTTTGCATTTTATTTTTGGAAGTATCAGTTAGGGTTCACTTGAAGAACAGAAAAAAATATATATGGATTTGGAGGGTGAACTTACAGTGGCCACCTGCAGAATTAGGTGTGGGAGAATGCAAAAGGTCCATCCATCTGTCTGCACACTAGAGAGCTGGAGGGTCCAGTCAGAAGTTAACATCTGGAGCTTACTGCAGAGTTCTGTGGAGTCTATAACAGGAAGCTGAAGGATCTGTGCTGGAAGACTGCAGAGAGTCATCCAAAGGTGATGGCAAAGACCAGAGCTCCTCAAAAGAAGCAGAAGCTAGACTTCCTCCTTTCCCTTTTTATTCCATCCAAGCTGCAAGCCTACTGGTTGGTGTCACCCACATCCAGAGCATCTTCTGTCTTCAGTAAGTCAGTCATCCAGACATACCCAGAGCTGGACTACACTGATCTTCTAGGTGTTTCTTATTCAAGTTGACACAGTGATTAACTGTCACACTGGGGATCAAACCTAGAGCCTTGCAACATGCTGGGCAAGCACTCTACTCCTGAACTATGTCCTTAGCTCTGTATTTGTTTTAAGTAAAGCATTTCAGAATACAAGGAAGACATTGATATGTCAACTTCATTGGATTAAGAAATGTCTAGTAGATTAGATATTAGATTATTGTCCAAGTGGATCATACAAGTGTTACCTTGGGTACTAAATATGGCCCCTACCTCCTTCTTCTCTGCTATCCTGCTCTGCTTCCCAGCTGCCATAAACTAAGAAGCTTTGCTCCACCATGCCCTTCCACCATGATGTTCTTGCCTGGGAGCCAACTCATTATGGACTGAATCCCCCCAAACCATGAGCCAAATTAACCCGCCCTCCTTTAAATTGTAGGTGTTGGGCATTGTGTCTTAGCAACAAGAAAGCTAACTAATATGGAAAATTGATAGCAGAATAATGACTATACTTAATCATTTGGTTTAGAATCCTTCAGAACTATTTTTTTTTTGAGGAATTTGGAAAGATTTAGAGATGCAGATTAGAGAAGCCAGAGAATGCTATAAACCTAAAAACAGAGCTTGATGAGTGATTCTGTTTGGAGCTCAGAACACTAGAATATTGGTAGGAATGTGGGCAGTAAAATTCAGGCTAAGTAGGTTTCAAGGACTCCATTGGCAGCTGGACTAGAAGTCATGTTTGTGACACTCTGGAAGAAAAATTGTCTACCTTCTACCCATATCCTGAGACGTCATAGAACACTGAGATTAAAGGTCATGGACTAATTAATCTGGTGGAGGAAATTTCAAGACAGATCAACATTCAGGATACAACATGGGTACTGCTGGCTGCTTTTAGGTAAAGTTATAGTGAAAGTTGGGGGAAAAAGATAGAACAGAAAAATTTGAGGCTTAAATTTTGGTCTGGAAGGAACCATTTGCAAAGTTGGGGCCAAAAGAGGTGTGGTGCTGAAGAGAATAGTGCCATTAAAAAGGAACCAAGTACTTTGTATAGGAACAAGCAGAAAGATGTCTTGAAGGCATCTCAAAAATTTGCAAGACCCTACCCAGCACAGGCTCAAGGGTGCAAAAATGTAAACCTTTCATTTGAGAAGATTGTCCATGGGCCCAGATAATGGATCTATAGTGTGCCCTGTTGAATTTCAGTCTTGCTTTGATGAGACTCTGTCCTTCTTTTCCTCTCTTTTAGAATGGGAATGTGCTATTCTACCTGGAGGTTATTAACTTGTTCTTGATTTTACAGAGGTTCACAGCTAAGAGTTTGTCTTAGGTCTCAGAAGAGACTTGCACTTGTACTTTTGAAAAATGCTGAAACTGTTGAGACTTTGGGGTTCTAATTGTAGGCAGGATAGTTGTATTATGTTAGGCAGAATTATTAATTTATTATGGTGTGTATTTGGAAATTAATACGGTTTAAGGAGATGTGTTTAGGTGTGAAGTTGACAAGGAGTGGAATGTGACCATTAATCCTGACATGTCACCTTTATTGGATTAAGACACATGTAACATATTAGGTGGGTCTTGGAGGTGTGACCTTGGGTACTATATGTTGTCCCTTGCCCCTTCCTCTCTGGCATTGTTCCTATGCTCTGCTTCCTGGCTGTCATGAACTGAGCAGCTTTGCTCCTCCATACCCTCTGTCAGGGTGTTCCCACCTGGACAGCAGCCAGCCCTGGACTGAAACCTCTGAAACCATGAGCCAAATTAAACCTCTCCTCCTATAAACTGTGGGTGTTAGGTGTTGTGGCTCAGTAATGAGAAAGGTAGCTGATCCAGCTGAAGAGGATAGAGGGACATTCCAAAGAAAATTTTCATTTCTTGCCAGTTTGGCAAGAAATCCTAGCACTATCCTATCCTGGCACTGCTTATTTTATGATTTTTCTTTGGCATATGTATTTTAGGTTGTCAGTTATAGAGTGTTTATATTTCAAAAGGTTATTTATTTTCCTGTCACTTGTATTTAAATTTTTTTCAGTACGTAAATACTATGTAAATACAAATGGTGCTAATTTCATAAATTTTTACCTTCAGAATATGACACACAAGGGATACACTATCATGTGGTAGTATGATAAAATATTCAGACATTTAAGACAACTTATGGAAGGGAAAACTAAACTGTGAGGGATGATTAGTGTCTCTAAGGGTAATTAATTTGTTCATTTACATTGTTGACTGGCATTTTCCCCCTCTTGTATCCTCATGCTTTATCTTCTGAATGTAGTGGTAGCATACTCACATTATATTAAATTCAAACAATATGGAAATGTAAAATGTTTCTCTTTTCTTACTGACCAGCATAAATCACTAACAGTTTATTCTACTTGTATTTTAATTTTTAAAATTACCAGTTGCAAATGAAGATGTATGCCTTGGAAGAAGAAAAGGTATTTGTTTATTTTTAATTTAATTTAAATCATACCTAAATGAACTTAATTATTATTTGTTCACTATAGTAGAAAAGAATATCAGTAACAAACTACTGAAAATATTTATTGCTTAAAATCTCAGAAACAGAAAGGACCTAAGGTAATTAAGTTATTTGACCTCTGTCATTTTACAGTTGAGAATACTATGCCAAGGCCTAACAAGATTAAATGACTTGCTGTGACAAAGTTGGTTCTAGAACGAAGATTTTTTTCAGCTCCCAAATAAGTTTTTCCATTCTACTATAATGTTTTTATTAAATATATTTTAATCCTTTTCACTGTAGTTATCTTTTTAAAAAAACACTGAAATGACTTGCACCCGCACTACCATTTGGGAAAGAACATATGTCTCTCAACAAATCTAGAAATGTAGTGGGCTGGGGATTTAGCTCAGTGGTTCTGCCACATGCCTCACAAGCTAAGATCACCAATATAAAAAAAAAAATCTAGAAATGTATCTGGAACTAAATATTTTCTCTACCTATTTTACATATGTATCCCATAATATATAATTTATAATATTGATAATTCATAGCTTATTAATTTTAGCAAAAAAACTTATTAAAAACTTTTCTATCCTTATATTTATTATACAAATGCACTCATACCCTACTAATTGGAAAATAATTAGATCTCTGTATCTATGGGTTTCATATCATACATTCAACCAACTGCTCACTGAAAATACTAGGGGAGAAAAGGTTCATGTGTACTGGACATGCACAGATTTTCTTCCTATTATTCTGTGAACAGTGTAGTATGACAGCTATTTACAAAGTATTTGTCTCTGGTAAGTAATCTAGAGATGATTTAACATATATGGGAAGGTATGTGTAGGTTATATGCAAATACTATGCCATTTTATATAATCAAACTTAAGCATATTCAGATTTTAGTATTTATGAAGGTCTTGGAAGAAATTCCTTGCAGATTCTGGAAGGTGAGTATATATTTATTCTAGCGTTAAGAATTAAGTAATTATGTAGTGTCTGTAAGTTTTCCTAGGAATGCTTTATTGATAAAGTGATTTGTTGCTATGTTTCATTTCATGATAATTATAATTATATAAAGGTGTTATTGTAACTTTTGCTATTTTGAAGCCATTAGAAATGTAGTTTGTCATGTAGGTACAAGTTAAAGCCTTTGAAGTATTAGGCCTGAAGTAGAGACTTTGATTCTTGAGCTCTTCAATTTTCCTTCGTATACATTAGAAAGTATTAAAATATAGTTTTTTCTCTGAAGGGAAAATATCAGCTTGCTACAGAAATAAAAGAAAAAGAAATAGAAGGATTGAAGGAAACATTAAAAGAGCTACAGGTAATGTAATTTAGTATTACTTAAAAAGTAATTTGCTGGAAAAAAGCAATTTGCCATTTTAGCATAATATCAGCAAACACTATTAAACATGTAAGCTAGCAAAGCTGACAAAAACTCATATTCTGATACATTACATAACTTAATAGATTTTAATGTGAACCTTATATGTCAAATGAAGATTTTTGCTTCATCTTTTATTTAAAAATATTTAAGTAACTTTATTATTTTTAATAGTAATACAGTTATAATTTTTAATACTTTATGGATGAGGAAAACAAGTAAGGCTTATATAGTATTATTTATTTACCTATGGTCTTTAAAAATTAAAACAAAACAAAACAAAACAAAAGATTAGAGGGCCAGATGTGGTGGTGCAAGCCTGTAATCCAACACTCAAGAGATTGAGGCAGGATCACCACAAGTTGGAGGCCAGTGAGTGAGTTCACGGCCAGCCTGGACTATATAGCAAGACCCTATCTCTAAATAATAAATGAATCAGTACATAAATGGAAACAAATATGACAAAGAGTTGAAATAGTTTAATCGAATCTTTACTATTGTGTTTATTTTCTGCAAATACAAAGACTAAGAAAATATCACCTTTGCCCTTGTTCAGTCTCACAGGAGACACAGAACTGCTCTAGTAATGATGACTTAGTTATGTTTATTAGGGCCTATTGTGTGCTAGCACTTTCTTCAGCACAGGACACAGCAGTGGGAGGAAGACTCCTCTGCCCTTGTGGAGATTGTGAAAGAGTAAGATGAAGTAAAAGTGAAGTAAACATTGTCAGGGTAGAAGATACTCTTGTGATTTCAAAGTATTATTCTTAGATAAAAGCTAGCCTTCACTAAAATTAAAAACTTCTGCCCTTCAAAAGACACTCTCAAGAAAATAAAAGACTGCTTTTCAAAATGTATTAAAAAAAAAAAACCTCTTAAAAACCCAAGTATAAGCAAGCAACCCAGTAAAAAACAGGTTGAAAATAGATCTTTTTGCTCTTTCTTCTTGTAGTATTGGGGGTTGAACCCAGAGCCTTCACAGTGAGCTACATTCCCCAGTCCTTGTTATTTGTTTTTATTTTGAGTTAGGGCCTTGGTAGGTTGTTGAGGCTCAAACTTTGAATCCTTCTGCCTCAGACTCCTGCATTACTGATTACAAGCATTCAGCACTCAGGCCTGGCTAAAACGGGCCAAAGATATGAACAGACACCTCACCAAAAGAGATGCACATACAGGTGACATAAGCATATGAAAAGATGTCCCTTTTCATATGTCATCTAGAAAGCATGAATTAAAACACTGAACACTGCTGCGCACCAGAAAGAATGACCCACTTTGGAGCACCAACACCGCAGATGAAGAAGAGGACGGGGAGCAACAGGAGCTCTCTGTGCTGCTGCTGGGAGAGCTCAGTGGTACAGCCCCTCTGGGAGTCATTTTGACTATTTCTCACAAAGCTAAACACGACTCAGCAAATCACACTGCCTGGTATTAATCCAGATGAGCTGAAAAGATGTGCACAGGGACACTTGCTGCAGCTCGGTTCGTATTGCAGGCCTCGGAGCCATCAGAGTATTTCAGTGGGAACAGATGACGGAGTGGGAGTACTGCAGACTCTGGAATGTCATAGCGTTAGAGGAAATGAGCTGCCCAGCCATGGAGGACAGAGAAGCTTTAGACGCATATTACCAAGTGATAGAGAGAGAGAGAGAGGCTGATCTGAAGAGGCTGCATGATTCCAGATCTCTGACCTTCTGCAAAAGGGAACACTTTTTATTGTGGAAAACAGTAAAATGATCAGTGTTGCCAGAGGTTAGGGAGAAGGAAGGAGGGATGAACAAGCAGAGCATGAGGCATTGTTAGGACAAGGAAAGCGCTGCATGGCACAGGCATGGTCACAAGTGTCCAGAGCCACAGCATGTGCAGTACCTGGTGTGTGGACTTGGGGTGATAATGACGCGTCTCTGTGGGTTCAGTAATTGTAACAAGGTGCCATTGTGGTGGGAGAGGACCATGGGAGGCTGTGTGTGTGTGATTTAGAAATCTGCGGGGCATCCCTGCCTTCCTCTCAGTTTTGTTGGAAACTTAAACATTACCTGCTAAGTCTTAAAAAGCATCCTAAATCCTACAAGCTTTCTGAATGCAATTTCAGTCATGATTTTTATTACCAGAATATGTGTCCTCTTTTTCTTTCTTTCTTTTTTAAAATTTACAACATTTTTTTCGGCAGGGTGAAAAATTAATATTTTATTTGTTTTTGAAAAATGTAAGCCATTATCCTTTCAAGTAACCTCCCTCAACAAAGTTTGTATTTTCTCCTTTGTGACTTGTAAGAAGGTAAGTTTTGGATCTTTTCACTGGCCTACATGTCCCAATTTTAGTATATGTGCTGCCAAAGTGAGCACTGGCCTACATGTCCCTATACTTTCCCTCCCTCCCTCTTACCCTGCCTCCCTGCTTTCTTCCCTTCCTTTTCTTTGTTTCAGTACTGGGGATTGAACTCAGGTCTTTTTGCAAACAGTGAGCAACATTTCCAGCCTTTTACACAACTTTTGTTTTAAAATTTCAAGACAGGGCCTTGCTGAGTTGTCCAGGCTGGGTTCAAACTTGTGATCTTCCTGTCTCAGCCTCCCAGAGTGCTAGGATGATAAACATGCACCATACCTGGCCTCTACATCTTTACATCTGTGAACTTGAGACATTTTGTGTAATTTCTTTGGACCTATCTTCTAGTTCACTGATTTGTCAGGTATGTTTTGTCATATTTTTCTATTGAGCTGTTTTTTCATGACTATATTTTTCTTTTTTGGAAGTTTTATTTGGTATGTTTTCATATCAGCTTTTTTACACCATCTTATACTTTTCTCGTACTTTTTATTATATCTTATGTCTTTGATCATTTAAAACAATTTTATAGTATCATTGAATTGTGATTATCTCTGATTATTTGGGGATGGTTAACAAATCTTCCTCCTTGCAGTTTCTGCTTGCTGATCCTTTCTCATTGTCGATCTTCCTTTTTAATGTGGCTCATAAATTTTAAATTGTGAGTTCCTCTAGAGTGGAAGATGAAATTTTATGGTGAGGCTGTGTTGCGAATTCTTTATGCAGAGCTCCTCTAGGTTTGCTTCTGTACTGAGCCTTGAAGATGCTGCTGAACAGTCCCCAGCTGGTCCATTAATTTATTGTCTGAGGGTGTGTGCATCTTCTATATTAGCTCTTCACTCCTTCTTGTGCTGCACACTGAGGGTTTCAGTTTCCTGTAGGATAACTTCTGTTTTTGAGCCAGAGACCCAGGTGGAACCACACTTCTTTGAGTTGGTGGTTCCATTTCTGCAGTCCTTTCTCAGGGACAGCAGTTTGTCTGGGCTCTTTCTTTGTCCCCCAGATCCCTTGGCTCTGTGCCATGCAGGGTTCTGGGATCACCAAAGCTTCAGCTTGCATACTTTCAGCGTTCACTTTGGATTTCTTTCTTGTTTCAGGCATTTGGGAATGTCTTTGCCTTTCTTTTGAACTTAAGGTATATATTACTTTTTATTAATGCTACATTTTTCAAACATTTTACATCAGTTCATTCCACGATGTTTTTAAAGTTACTTAATTTTTTTCTTTTGAAACTATCGTAAACTTACAGAGAAGTTGGAAATACAATACACAAATTACTTTTCCCAAGTAATTGGAGAAGCATTTGCCAACCTGATGCTGCATCAGCCTGTTACTGTAGTGTGTATCTTCCTTGCAATCAGGGACATTCTCCTATAAAACTGTAACAAACCATCAAAATTGAGATGTTAACATTGGTGCCTAACTATAGTGTCCAGGACTCATTAGCTTTTCACCAGTTGTTCCAATAAAGTATTTTATAGCAGAAGGATCCAGTTTAGTATACAGTGTTGCATTTAGTTCTCATAGTTCTTTCATTTCTTCTAGTTTGGAGGAGTTTCCCAGTGTTTGCTCAGTTTTTATGACATTGACACTCTTGAACATTACAGACTAGTTATTTTATAGAATATTCCTTAATTGCTGTTCGTATGATGTTTCCTTTTGATTAGATTCGATTTTTGTATCTCTGGCAAGACTATTATAGAAGTAATGCTGTGTTCTTATTAAATTATATCATGTAATTCATGCTTTCAGTTTGTTTCATTATTGATGTTCACTTTGATAATTAAAGTGCTGACATGTTTCTCCTTTGTAAAGTTACCCTTTACTTCTTTGTAATTAGAGTATTTGGTAGGGAGGTACTTTGAAACCATATAAATATTTCATTTCTCACCAAACTTTTAATGTTTATTTTTATATCATTATAAACTTAGTTTCTTATTCAATGGATTAAAATCTATAACTGTCATTTATTTTTGTGCTCAAATTATTCTTGGTTTGGCCAGCAATAATTCATTTAAGCTGGGTTTTTAGTCTTTCTGACACGATTTCATCATTGTTTTAGTATTTTACAGCTTTTGTTCTTTATTTTTTTGTACCAGGGATCAAACTCAGGACCTTGTGCTTGCAAATCAGGTGGCGGCACCACTGAGTTAAATCCCCAGCCCTAGTATTTTCCAGCTTTCAAATAAAAATCAAATATGCCAGGATCATGGTGTACTTTACCTGACTTTGACTCGGAATAAACCATTTATCCATATTGAACTGGCACCTGAAAGGTGGTACATAGAAAAAAGGTGGTACATAGAAGATGAAATCAGGGCATTGTCCCAGTCAGGGCTGTGAGGCCTCAGTGCTTCCAGGAGCTCCAAACAGAACTGGGGGATACATGCAAGCATTTATAGGCATGTGCGTGCACACACACAGGCATCCTTTATTTCTCTGTTAGTCTGTGTAGACTGAAAACCTTTCATTCATAGTGTGTCCAAGCATGGTCTCCAAGCACAAGGGGCAGTTACTTTCTTTCTTTCCTGTCTGTTCTTCTCATTCAAGATATCCAATTTTCATTATTGTTAGTATGTTTACATATTTGATAAATCTTCCTGTGTGTAGTTGCTTAGTTTTTCTGATGTCTGCTCCTCCTTCATGTGAGTGTCAACCTTGCCCAGTGTGGATTTGGACGCTATCAGAAGAGCTATGTTGCCCTTTTCCTGGGTTCACCTGGACTGCTCTCTCTCCTTCCGTCCCTCCCTCCTTTCCTCCCTCCCTTCCTTTTTCCCCTCCTTCCTTCCTCCCTTGTGCTGGGGGTTGAATCCAAGCCTTCACTCTTGCTAAGCACATATCGTCCTGCTGATCTGCACCCCCCACCGCAGAGGATCCTCCTCCCTGGGGACCCCCATCCTCTGTCAGGCTGGTTCCTATTCTGCAATGCTGTGGCCATCACTTCCTCACCACTTTGGCCCAGATCCTCGCCTTGTTCTCCCTCACCTAGTGGACTTGGACCCAGATTGCTGTGAAAGAGAAAAGGGTTCAATGTTTTTAACATTGTATTAAAGTAACATACAATTAATGAGAAAATTAGTAGGAAAATAAAGTTTGCTCTAAAGATGTGCTTTTAGTGAACTTTCATTACATTTTTTCATAAAGTGTGATATAATCATTAGGAAGGTGTCTGTCATCTTTGAAATTTCCTTCTATAGTTCATTAGTATCACTATAGTTTTGTTTCTTTACTAGACATATACCTGTATCTGCTATTATAAATCAATGTGTACGTGATTTTTAGGATTAAAAAACAAAACATTAAATATAACATGCATAAAAAGTTTGCATGTCAGTCTAATTATCTTACTTTCAAATTCAACTTTGTGTCAGAAAAGCAGCCATGTGGTACTTTTATAAATTAGGCATTGCTCTAGAGGCATTGATAAAGTAGAGCTATGGATTGCAACTCAGGAGGACTAGAACATAAAGGTTATGGTGTCTGAAAAGCAGTGGTCTCAGGTAATTTGGCAAATTTTCTCTACATCTATTAGTTTTATCTACGGCTAATGGTAGGAGATAATATTAAATAATAGACTAATAGTCCCTTTGTCTTTCGAGTTAAAAATTTTCTAGATGACCTATGTTTTACTTTGCTTCTATTCTGTATGCCTTATAAACACTCTGCTTTCATGCAGGCATATGTTTTTAAAATGTGATCTGCATAGCAATGACCTCCAAATGTGTATTTCTAATTCTGAATTCAGCCTGGATTAACTATTTGATGTCTCTGCCTAGACCTCTAAAAAACATCTCAAACTTGAAATGTTTAAAACCAAATTCCTGTAATTCCCCCTTCTGAAAATTAGCTTCTTCCTGCAGAGTGCATCTAGTATCTGGCTACTCGTCATTACATCTGCTACTTGTACTCCGGTCCTGTTTACCATCTCCTTTCATCTGGATTATTGCTGTATTCTGTTAAGTGGTTCTCCTGCCACCTCTTTTGTTTCCTTCTTGTGTTCATGTATCATCACAGCTATTCTTTAAAAAAACTGCCTCTTACTGGGGACCCCTGAAGTGTTACTGGAAACCTCTGCAGTAGGCTCCAGTCTCCTACTCAGTATATGATGCCGGCCTGATGGGGGGGGGACCCCTAAAAGACAGAACTGAGAGACAGAAAGCAGGAAGCAGGACACCAATGCTGGTGCAACCGACAAAAGCACTGGCCAGCAAGCCACTGATTTTTATTGTTAATCAACTGGGATAAAGGAGAGCTACATGCAAGGATAGCAGTATGTGTAAAGATGTGCAGTCTGTGCTGTTTCTATGGAAATTAATGTAAGCAAGGCTCGCAAAAGACAAGACAAATCATTTTTGAATTAGGAAAGAAATAGACAAAATATATGGTTGTAATTACAACACTGTCCAAGTTAGAAGGTTTTAGTTGTGGAAATAGAATTTGAGTGTGAGTTACTCTGACCTCAGCATGTAGGCTTCAGCTGACTCTCTTCTGTAAACAGCCAATTGTGGGGTTAACTCTTTACCATTTGTACTGTTTACATCCTGCTTTGGGCATAATCAATATTGCAGTCTCCTGCAGCCTGTGTTGCCTTTGTGCTTGGAACTCTCTGGTGGCTTCCTTTCTCATTCCTTACAAAATCTAAATCCCTGTGTTATGATTTAGGTGTAAGATGTCCCCCAAAAGTCTCATGTATGTCAAAGTGAGGTTTTCACAGGGTGACTGTGTGACAAGGGCTCTAAATTCATCAAGTGGGTTAATCCCTCGATGAGACCATGATCTGCTAGCATTACTGGGAAGTGGTGGAAAATTAGTAAGTTGTGCCTCCTTGAAAGGAGCAGGTCATGGGTGTGGCCTCAGGGACTACATCTGGTCTACAGCCCTTTCCCTTCTGTCTTCCAGTGCTTCTCTTCACACCCTTCCACCATTTTTCTGCCTTACCATAGGTGGTTTGAAACTTCTTAGACCATCAGCCAAAATAGATCTTTCCTCCTCTAAGTTGTTCTTCTCAGGTTTTCGGTTATGGCTGCAGAAAGCTGACCAACACCTTGCATGCATCACAGGATCTATACTGATTTGGGTCCCCCACTTCTCTTACCCATCTCTGAACTCATCTTTGGCTGTTGTTCTCCTGCTTACTCCTTTCCAGCCATGTAGACTTCCCTGCTATCCTTGAACACTGCAGTGTTATCCCTGTAGGGCTTTGTACCGGCTGAAACAGTCAAGTCTGGTCTCAGGCTGAAATAGTCAAGGTGCTGTCTCAGAAAGGTCTTTCCTGGGCATCCTCTGAAACCCCCTTCTGTCATTTATTATTTTTCTTTAGAACTCATCAGTATTAAATATAACATTTATTTAATTTATTTCTATTGCTCATGGTTTGTCTTCCTGAAAATCTAAGCCAGTGTTATACCCTGACTATCTATATCAATATTTTTCCTACACTGAGCAGTCAATATTTGTTGAAGGAAGGAATCATACATTACCCAACCCATCAAGATGAACTAAAAACATTGACTTGTTCATGGCAGTAAGTTAAAGATTTTGTTTCTTAGGAAATGTGAAGATTATTTTATTTTTGTGTAAAATTTAACCCAGGTGTGGTGGTGCACACTTGTAATCCCAGCACTTGGAAGACTGAGGCAGGAGGAGTGCCATGAGTTCAAGGCCAGCTTGAACTACAGTGAGACCCTGTGCTCCCCAAATTAACAAATATATGTATGGTTTAAAAAAATGAGCATTCATAAACAGCTGGTTGGAGTTTAACTCAGCCACTCTGGAAGACTGTGTAACAACTTTTAAAAGCCTACAAAGTAAACAGATGTTAGAGATGCTACTTCTTGGGATTTATCCTGATAAAATGAACAACTACAAAATTCTAGGTACAAGCATTTTATTTTAGAATAATTCACAACATAAAATATTGAAAACCGGGTAAACCTATAAACCAGAGAGTGCTAAGGTAAACTATGATCAAATGAAACAGTGGAGTACTTTGTAACTGTTAAAAAGTTATGTTGTATGCTAACTGATCACAGAAATGTGTTTATTACATGTTTGATAAAAAGAAGTTATAAAATAGTACATCTGTTATCATTATTCCCATCTATCTTTTAAAGTATAAATGCATTTAAAAGCCACTAAAAAGATCTGGAAGTACTGAGTGTTAATGACACCCGGGGGTTTGGAGATGATTTACTTGTTTATGATGACTTTTATGCTCAACTGTTCTTTCAGGATTTCTTCAGTGAACTCTCCTGGACTGGTCTTTCTCTATTCTTTGTGTTTGTCTTAGTAGCTGTCCAACTGTAACATATTGTATGCGTCACTCATGTTTACTGTCTGTCTGTATCAATCTTGCTAGGAAGAAAGCTGCTTAGCTCACTGCTGTAACCCAAGAACCTAGGGGAATGCGTGTGTGTGTGTGTGTGTGTGTGTGTGTGTGTGTGTGTGTTTAGGGTAGTGTATTGTTACTATAAGGAAGAGTGCTATTGTGAGTAAAATTTTGTATCTAATGCCACATTTTATAGCATGCAATTTTATGGTGAGAAGAAGGAACTGGTAATAAACACTTTTAATGAGCTTTTCCTCTTTATTTTTTCAAGGTTTCTAAATACTCTTTACAGAAGAAAGTAAGTGAAATGGTAAGGAAATAGCACAGCACATATTTCTCCCACCTGGATTAGTACATAAGATGCACAGTGCTTTTGTGAATATAAATGTGATAGCTATAGTTTAAAAACAACAGTAATAGTTGAAAATGGATATTGCCATCACCTTTAAAGGCTGGAATTGTAATTTCAGTTCAGTACAGCTTAAATTAATTCTTTCACGAATTTATTTGCAGTGCTTTTATGTTATAAAATAAAATGTGAAGCCTTTATTTTCATATTTTCTAGATATTCATACAAACATGTAGTTATTTATTATAAAAAATTGAAATATATTAGGGCTGGGGATTTAGCTCAGTGGTTCCGCTGCCTGCCTCACAAACACAAGGTCCTGAGTTCGATCCCTGGTACCAAACAACAACAACAACAAAACAGATGTTCAAAATTGAAATAGATTAAGTATCATTTGGGATGTGGTATTCATCTTTTATGTTCTACACTGTAGATGTAGTGCTTATTATTGTTCAATAAGTATTGTGAATTTCTCTTTCCATGTATATAAAAATAAATATTTTTGTTTTTACAGCATAAAATTATATGGAATATTTGCTGTGATATTCTTCCTTTCTAGTTCTATTTGATTCCTGAGGACCTTTGTGTATAGTTTTGATTGAAGAGAATTCTACTATATCTACTTAAATTTTTAGAAAGCTTCTTGTATGGGTTAATGCTATTTCAACCTTTATTCTTTGGAGCAGACTGTAGAGCTAGTAAAATTAATTTTTGAGTCTGGCTTCTGACTTCTAATGACATTAAATATAAAAACATAAATTAGTATTTTGCTTCTTAAAATTGTTTTGATGTTTTAGAATATAAAAGAGCTCATAGAGAGATTGTTAAGCTTGATTGACTAAAAGATGTGAAATTCGGTTGCTGTTCAACTGGAAAGAATAAAATAATATTGTCAGACTATTTTAAACTGTGATTTTAATTAAGAAGCTGAAAAACTAGACTCCAGTTTGGCTTTAAGTACTATGACATTTGTTCTGAAAGTCATCTTCAACGCTACAGTGATTTTACACAAAATATAGTGAAATTGAATAATATGTCCTTTGACCTGGGAGATAAGGCTACAAGTTAAGGATCAAAGGCAACATAAAACGTGTTTTATTCCAGTTTAAAATTTTATTAAACATATGCTTATAATCTTTGCAAAACAAAGAAACATCTAGTATACCTACCTAGTTTTGGTTGCTTCCCAAGCTTTTTGTGGTTGTGAATTATAACCTATTAGCCTACTAAAATAATATTTGAGTAGAGTCATAATGTTTTTTTTCTGACAGTTCAAAGCATTATATCACTTTTAATTAAAGTAATTTTATATATTGATCCATACATTTAATATCTTATGCCCATTCTGAGATTTTATTTTTAAATTTAAAACGTAAAAATAATATTTTTCTAAACATTCTGATGTATCTCTATCTTATATAATAATTCTTAGATAATTTTTCTTATATCATTCTTATATAATTTATGTTGCCTTTTTCTTTCTTTTTTTTTTTTTTCGGTTTTTTTGAGACAGGATCTCACTATGTAGCTGAGACTGACCTGGAACTCACTATGTAGCCCAGGCTGGTCTCAAACTCTCAGTGATCCTCCTGCCTCAGCCTCCTAAGTGCTGGGATAACAGGCATGAACCATTGTCTTTTCTTTATTCAAAGTTAATCTTTTTTTAGAGCAGTATGTCATTATTTTATATTATTTGGCTCCATGAGCAAAACAGGACCAAGATAGACAACTAGTGTCAAGGCAAGAGTTTGAGGAGTAGTAACATTTAGTGTCTTAAAAGAAATGTTTTAAAAAATAGATAAGAAATAAAAAAATAAATAAGAAACTTAATTGAAGTTCATGATCCCTTATAGGTAAGCACTAGTAAATTTCTGTCTTTTGGGAATTCAATAAACTCACTTTCTTGTAGAGGTGATGTTGATAACTTAATACATCACAAATCAAAAGTTTTATCTTTCTCTAAAACTACTGAAACCTCTTTTCAAAAAACATCAGTCATTACCAATAACAAGAATGTAACAAAATATGTTAAAGAGAAACTTATGTAACATTAAATTAGCCATTGTTGTGATTTGGTCATGGAGAAAAACCTTTCCTGTTATGTTTGGGGGTTACTATGTAGATGGTATGTTGTGTGATGAAAGGTATAGGTGACTGTCATACAGCTGTGTATATTAATACTGCATATGAAGTAAAAACTCAAGTCATGTTTCAGTCATACTTTATTTCTCTTTTTATACATCACTTTCCTTTGAAGAGAAAACTTGTAAGATTTCTTTTTCTTATTAAATAAAAGCAGTTTCAATATTGAAGATTTTGTCATGGCAGTGAATAACCATGCGTTCTCTTTCAGAGTAGACTGTTCTTAAACTGAAGACTTGTCTAGAAACAACTTCCTGTTTATAAATGTTATATATGTATGTACACATACATTAGCAGTGTAAAGATTTTCCAAGTGGTATGTGTCTTAAATTCATGGCTAACAAAGTAAAGTTGTCTTTCAAAAGATACCATTGGTTTTTAAAGATTGAATTTTGTAACTCCATTGATTTAGTTTGGGGTCATATTAAAGAAATTAAAGGTGAGTTGCAAAATTAAGAAATATATAAAAATATATAGAAATTAAGAATATATAAAGTTTATCTTTGGATTTTTAACTTTTCCTCTAAATTTATTCATAACTGTCTTAGAGAAATCAATTTTGCCTTCACAAGTTTTCAAATTAATCTCATTAAGTAAATAGAGAAAAGGATGATATGTAGCTATACCTCTTATTAATAATTTTTTTTTTGGTACTGGGGATTGAACTTAGGTCCTTGTGCAGGTCCTTGTGCTAGCAAGGCAGGCAGTGGGACTACTGAGCTAACCCCCCAGCCCCAGTAAATGTATTTCTAAAAGATACTGTATAAATATTTTTAAATGAGCCCCACTTTAAATGTCTAAAGTTTAAGACTACTTATACATTTCTCTTTTTAATCATTTGTATACATTAGATTGATTTAAAATGAGGTACACATCTGTTTAGAAAGTAGTGCACCAGGACATTATTTTCTTGTGGACTGAGTCTTGTATTTAGTGGTACAGTTGTGTAAAAGAAAAAATAATTTAAATCAATCACAGGTTAGAAACACAAAAATGTACTTAGTGTACACTATGTACTTAATTATTAGTCACCTTAATAAAACAAGCTTTATTTCCTATTGTGATACAGTGTACAATATGAAGGTTTTAATAATAGTTATACCCTTACTTTGTTATTCTTTAAAATGTTCTCCATTCTCTCAGAGAGTTATTATCAATTTCATTTTGTTGTTGCTTCTCAAAGAATTTAAAACTATTTATGATAATCCTGCAGTTAGTGGCGGACTTGACAACAGATTTCTTCATACATCATCAGAGCTGTCACGGCAGCCAGCTGAGTTCAGATGGGTGTGTGTGGGCTGAGGGAGCTGTCAGTGCCCATGTGATCTGGAAGTCGTTAGTATTTATTGTGTTCACTGAGTAGGCTGATGTGTCTGAAAAACAGAATTATGTCATGGAAACAAATGAAATTACATTTTTATTGAATTCAACTTTGGGTTCAGCAAAGGATGTTGGAATAGGGTATATCACAAGTTAATGTGTACACAGCTCTAGAAATAGGAAACACCTATGAAATCTCTTTGGCCTTTCTGTAGTTCTTATTGTTGTTAACAGAATTGTGAACCTTTTCAAGAATTGACTGCCTACTACTTTTTAGCTGAAAAGTTAAGTCTGTTGTTGGGTCCATGTATTAATATATAGTGGAGAGTTTTCTCTTAAAAGCTATGTACATATTTGGACTGAAAAATTATTTGAATTAAAAAATGTGATATAACCCATTCTCAGTGAAATCCTACTGGGTTTTTACACATATTCTGAGAGTTATTATAATTCTCTCAATCAGGAGTTAAATGATATTTTAGAGGAAATAAATAAGCCTTATTATTTTTTTCATTGTTTAGCTGTTGACATTAGTAATTACCTCAGTTGGTATAAGATTTCTGGGGGTTAAGTATATTTGTCAACAACTAATTCAAATGCCCAAGTAATGACATTGAGAAGCCCACAGAAAGGTGTGAGAAACTTTGAACTGACCTGTTGTAATCATTACTGGCTATATTATTATAACTTTTGTTAAAGTCATTAAAAATAATTTTGAAAAAGTTAAGGCTACCATCAGACTTGTCAAGATAATATAGTTAGGTACAGCTTAAATTGTGTGTTCTTGATTAATATGAGAAATCTCTTCTTATTCTATAAGTTACTTAAAACTATTAAAAATACTTTTATCAGTTGAAGAATAATAATAAATCATATTATAATTATTATGTAGTAGGATCTGTTCTTAGTGCTTTATATAACTTCAGTTTATCTTTTCAGCAATCCTGTAAGGAGAGATGCTGTGATAATCTCCACTTTAAGATAGAGTTATCTATCTTATCAGATCATGTTAGCTCAGTCACAAAGACAGGATTTAAGTGCATGCAGAGTAACTTCTGACTACTGTGCCATCCTACCTGTTCTCTGCTTTTACATAGTAAAAAATGACTCTGGTTAACTTACACAAACAGAAATCCAGAGGTGGCACCCAATCAACCAGAGTGGTGAACGTGTTTGGGATGAATAGGGATCAGAGTAACTTGGAGTTTGCAAGGCAGGATTTAGAAAGCCAAACACGCTGACCTTCAGTTTTGTAAACTGTTTGCTCAAGATTGAAATCACAGAAAGGTAGATCATTTGGTTTGTCCTGGGTAATATGCTGTTCACTTCTCTTGGGGAGAATGAAACTTGTCAATTTTAGTCCTATGAAACTAATGAAGAACAGTTTCAGTAAAATAAATTATGGCACTGGTAGTATTAGGTAAAGGAAATGGACACTGGTTAGATGACTTCTACAAACACCCACTGCTGAACTCAGTAGGACAACAATAACTCACTCAGAAGACAGGTATTGAATGCCAGTTGATGGGCCTATACTGTTTTGTTGTTGTTGTTTGTTTTTCTGCTGTTTTATGTGGAAGCTGAAGCAGTTAAAAAAAAAAGAAGTTGTAAAGCCAATTAATGATTTTGCTAATTCAAGGTTTAAAAAAAGCCTTTAAAAAGTATTATTGATTCTATTAACATTTTTTTTGGGTGGTACTGGCAGCTGAACCTGGGGCTTTGCACATACTAGGCAACTTTCAGAAGTTCAAGTCTGTTCTTAAGTATGGTAAAAGTAGCTCTGTTAGCTGAAAGCAGTGGAGACCCTTATAAGTAGGGTCCAATTTTTACCAATTATGTCTCTAGTTTAAGGGATTTTTCTACTGCACTGTATTGCCTTCCTGTCAAAGAAATATTGTCCATGTCTTCTATTTTGTATAAAGGTGCTATATTTTTAAAACTAATCTCAGAAAAATTACTTGAATTTTGATAATATGCATCAAATTTATGCTTGCAAACTGAAAGAACAAAGAATAAAAATAATGATTTAGTTAGGTCCTGATTATCCAGATGATTTGTTAGACAAAGAAAAAAATTTCTAAGTACCAAGATTGTTGCTTTAATCTCCCCCACTTTATTTGCTAGATTGATTAGCTTTTTATATATAAATAAAACAGTCACTTGATTTTGAAAAAAATTGTAAACAATGGAAGCATTACATGAGGTGACTATTTTGTTACAGGCAAATAGTGTACTTTATTTTACATAGATTTAGTAATATCTCCTAACATTTTCTTCCCAATGGTGTAGTTCTAGAGTATTTCTTCATGAAATTTATATTTGGCATATTATTGAAGAGTAGTTTACTACTATATACGTGTTGCATATGTTTATATTATAGGGATAACTTTAAAATTTATTCTTTATTTATTTATTTATTTATTTTTTTGGTACCAGGGATCAAACTCAGGTCTAAAATTTATTCTTTAAAATAGGAACAAAAGGTCCAGTTCCATCTTCTGGCTAAAGAAGATTATCATAAGCAACTGAATGAAATTGAAAAATACTATGCTACAATAACAAATCAATTTGGATTGGTAAAAGAGAATCATGTAAAGTTAGAACAAAATGGTAGGTATTATCTTGTTTAAATTTACATATTCATTAGAGATTATTGAAATGGACTTATTTATTATGAATAAATTGAACTTATCAAATATGAATAATAGTAAAGTGACCATTTAATTGTATACATTGTATTGGTAGTATTTTCTCTGTCCAAGTTAGTGATATTTTCTTTGAAATATACCACAAGTATGTTTTCCTAAATGTCTTTCATATTACAGTACAAGAAGCAATACAATTAAACAAAAGACTTTCAGCTTTAAATACAAAACAAGAATCTGAAATAAGCAGTTTAAAGAAGGTATGATTGATAAAGTTTTATACTATTAAGTAAAAATTATAGCTTAAAAGTCTTATACAATACTACTAGAAAACAGTGGGTAGAGTTTTTTGGTAGGAAAAATATAGAATCATAAACTTTGAGTTATGATTCTAGTAATGTAATGAATGAATTTGCTGCAGCAAGTTCTTTGACTTGTGATCAACGGCTTGCACTTCTATGGTAGCACAGATAACCAGCGTGCACGCACCACATGTTAGCTGCATTAGCACTCTTCATTCAGTCAGTCAGTCAGTCAGTCAGTGTTTATTGCTGACTTCCATGTGCCAGTACTGTGTGGCACTGACGACACAGCTATGAAGGAAACAAAGCACATTCCTAGTTTTATAAAGGTTATAGTCTAATGGGGGCATTAGACATAAACATATAGATAACCTGGATAAATATGCAGATTTTATACAAATATACAGATACAGATGATCTGGAGAAGTTAGGACATGATGATACAACAGGCAGCTTTGTTGGATTGGGGATAAAGGGTGCAGAATAAGGAATGTTTCTGGCATAGACAAGAGCACAGACAAAAGCCTCGAGGCAGGGAAGAATTTAAGACTGAAGAACTAGGTCTGGTATGGCGAGAGCATCATGAGTGAACATTTATTGGTGGCTTACTTAACACCAGTAGCCTCATCTCCTTCCTAACCTTATCTGAATTTTTGTTTTGATGTCTCCAGCTTTAGAACTGAGCTCTAAATTGGAAGAAGCCATAAGTGTACTTCTTAACTTTTGCCAGAAATTGATTCAGGAGCAGATAAATGACTTGAACTACTGGCTATCAGCCAGGAAAAATACAATCCCCTCTATGGCTTACAGTCCCCCACAACCACGAGAAGCCAAAGATGACCCACTTCCTGTCAAAGTGGAAGTGACATAAAGATGCCTCTTCATTTGTAACACTGTTATGAAGTCCCTGTATCAATGAACTCTGCATCTTCTCTAATTGCTGGGCTTTTCAGTCGTGAGCCAGTAGTCCCCATTCATACTTAAGCCAGTTTGGTCAAGGCTAATTCAGTTTTCTGTTGTTTGCAACTGAAACTACCCAAACTGATAAAAAAGGAGAGGAAAAGAAATAGGTAAGGCCTCATTCTTTCTATAATGGCCTCTCATTTCCTCCCTTTACTCTCCTCAAAGCTCCATCTTATGATAGTCTTCTTTGCATAATCTAGGAGTTGTTGGATTGATTTGTCATGATATCTTACTGATTTTAAGAGACGTGTCTTTTCACAGTCACTGACTGCAATCCTATCTTCTATGTCTGAAATTCTATCTTTACATTCATTCATTCTGCTGCAAAATCTTTCAATAGTTTTTCATCTCCTCGATATCTGTTTGAATCTGTTTCATGGATTCCATTTCTTTTCTATGTTGGGCATTCATGGTTTGCATTTCTTTCCTCTGCTGGGCCTTCATGGCTTCTATCTGGGTCCTGAGCTCATCTATTTGTTTGTTTGTTTCTTTGTTTCTGTCCTAGGGTCCCTAATCATGTCTTTCAGTATACTCACCATCTCTGTGGTTATCTGGGAAATTATTTGTTTTGAATTTTTCTAGAACCTGATTGATCTGTTTTTTTATTTCCTGTGCTATGATTTCAGGGTGTCCTGGTGGTTCACTGTGAGACTTTTCACCCTCATTTACTCTAGAATTTGCCATTGGTGAACTGGAAGTCTGTCTTTGTGTCTTGCTTAAGTGTTTTCTCATTTTTATTTTTGTTGTTGGGTTGTCCTTGGTTTAATTCCTGGGTTAGTACTTCAATCTTCCTGATTATAGCTTCTCTTTATGTTGTGAGTCTCTAACGACTCAAGAAATACTCTAATTTCATAATATCAGAAAGAACAACTCATTAAATCAATCACAACCCTGTAGCAATCAACAACACAGTAGCATCAAGCACAGCTTAGAAATTGACCATTTGTGGTAGTCATTAATCTGTCACCTTTAAACCATGTGAATTAAATAAAAATCTAGGAGAAGCCCAATATATATATATTTACAGTGAATAAACTCTTCAGTATAGCATCTTTATCCTTTAGCATGGGGGTTTAGACAGAGTTAGGACAAGAGGAGTAGATAGGTAAAATAATTGGAGAAAGGGTCTAGTGAAGCCAGAGGACACAGGATGACCACACAAACTTTAGGAAACTGTTGAAGACAAGAGGATAAGACAGAGTGCAAGAATAAGTATAAGAATATAACAACTTAAAAAGTAATAGCGGCTCACTTTTCTTTGAAACTATTGACCCTTGAGTGAAGGAAAATGAGAAGAAAAGAATATAAAGAAAGTGTAAAAAATGATAAAAGAAGAAATCTCAGGGTAGGAAAAGGATCAGAAAGGGAGATGAAGAATTATATGGGGGAGCAAGAGACTGAGTTGGAATACAAAGATAGAAAAAAGAGACAATTTGCAGAGTGGAATGAGGAAAAGAAACAAGAAAAAGAATTTGAAGGGCCTCTTTCAGACTGTATCTCCTCTGTCATAATGGACAGTGTGCACAGCCATGTGCAGAACTAAGTCCTTTAGTCTCAGCTAGCCAGTGGCTGACCCCTGAGATTCAGGCTGAATTTGGGCTGCATGGCCCAAATTGAACTCCCTGACCTCCTGCAGGGTTGAACTCTGCAAGGTTCTACTACAGGTTCCCTCAGCCCTTTCTCTGAAGATATTTAAAGTTCTGATGGAAGGTGGTACTCTCTTCAACTTACCAACTATTGAGATCTGATGTGCCTTTGTTGGAGTTGTTCACTTCTCTTCTATCTTCTGGAGCTCAGAAAAATGACCTTCATGACCACCCGTGGCTCTGCAGATGGATCTGAGAACTGGCACAATCAGGAGGCTGGTTGGCTTGAGACAGGCTGGAGTGAGAAGGGATCTCTTCACAGCTGTCCTAGACCTCCACCTTCCACCTTCCACTGGTGAGGGTGGGGTGAGGGAGTAGCTAACCAGTCCTCACCAGTTGGCTTGAGGCAGGCTGGAGCTGGCCTGTGTTTTATAATGTTCTCTTTATTGGGTTCCAGGAACCTTCTTCTTGTCCTTTTGGGCCTAGGAATTGTGACAGCTCCATTCTGCTAGACCCTGCAACTTGTACCACCCTTATGTTCCTTTGTATCCTGTCCACTCCTTTGCAGATCATCATCAAAGCATACTAATTCATGAATGCCATCTGTTTCCTGGAGGGATTCTGACTATATGCTTGGTTAGTCTGTGTTCTGGTTTAGACGTAAATGTGCCACAAAAGCCTCATGTGTTCAGAGTTGGATTTTTCGAGGGTTTCTGCATCATGGGGATGCTGTACTCACCCGTGGGTCCATCCACTGGTGAATGGGCTGCTAGGAGCCGGGGTCTGGGTGGAAGAGGTGGCTCACTGGGATTGTGGCCTGGAAGGGTGAGTTCTTGTCCCTGGCTCCTCCCTTCTCTCTCTGCCCCTGGCTGTCATGGGTGAAGTAGCTTTTCTCTTCCACGCCCTTCTGCCATGTTGCTTCTGTACTGGTGTCAACAACCACGGGCTGAACCCTCTGAAACTATGAGACAAAATAAACCTCTCCACCTCTAAGTCACAGCTCTCAGGCATTTTGTCCCAGGAAAGGGAGAGTGACTAATAATGGGCTGTAACATTATTAAGGCCAAGGTTATGAATTCAATTTCTGTCTAGGCTAGTCAGCTTAGGATAAGGAAAACCCTATTTCAAAATGTAAAATTTCATCCTGTCATAGTTTAGTTGTAAAATGTCCCCCAGAAGTCTCATATGTTCAGAGGTGAGGCTTTTGGAGGGAGATTGGCTCATGGAGACACTGTGCTGATCAGCAGTCCATTGAAAAGTTCATAGCAGGTAGAGCTGTTAGGAGTAGAACATGGTTGGAGGAGGAAGGGCATGGCCTAGAAGACTGTTTTTTTTTTTTTTTTTTTTTTTTTTTTTTTAAAAAATTTTTTTTTTTGTACAGGGGATAAAACTCAGGACCTTGCACTTGTGAGGCAGGTGTGGAGCCACTGAGCTAAATCCCTGGCCCTGGAAGGATGTGTTCTTATTCCTGTCTCTTCCTTTGTCTCTCTGCTTCCTGGCTGACATGGGTTGAGAACCTTTCCTGCACCAGGCCCTTCCTCCATGCTTTTTCTGCCTTGAAGCCAGCCAACCTGGAGTGAACACTCAGAAACTGTGAGCAAAAGTAAATGTTTCTCCTTTAAGTTGTGGGTGTTGGGCATTTTGTCCCAGTGATAGGAAAGCGACTAATGTACATGCCAAAACTCACCTAGCCATCTTCTCACAGTACATTTTGAACTCAAGGAATAAAAAATATGAATGATGGGGTTCCGATGCATCACTAATCTAATTTAGTTCAATATTGTCATCCTGATTCAAAAGGAGGCTGCTTGCTTCCTTATTTATTTATTTAACTGCCTTTGTACTGAGCTAATCCTCACCTTACCATCATCCCCCCCCCCCACAGGATCTTGTGCAGACAATTAATTGCCTTGGCTGGGCTGGAACTTGTGCTCTCCTTGCTTCAGTTCCCACAGGGTTGGGATTATAGGCCTGTAGCCACCACATCCAGCTAGGATTTTGATTTGAAAAGGAAAAAAGCCCCAAATCTAAGCATTTATACATTTTCATACACAGAGAATTTCATTATTGGAATTTACTTTATTTAATGTAATAGGTGTTTTTTCTAGCAGTGTGCATTCACAGCATAAGTCAGTGGGAAGCCCAGAGTTCCCTTGGATCCCTGTCCCCAAGCCTGCATAAATTCTCAGTATCACCTGCGCCAGTGCTCCATGTTCGCAGTGCTTTGGAGTTTGGTGACTCTGATTGATATGTAAGGTGGTTTTGTTAGTTTGTGCAATCCTGGGAGCAAACCCTGGGCCTCGTGCATGCTATGCACATGCTCTGCCACTGAGCCACACCCCGCATTTTCATCTCCAACCCCCTGAATACATGTGACATCACGAGTCTTTGCACATGCTGACTTGCTGT